AAGCTTAGTCAAGATAGCTAATACAAGGAAAATAATTTTGCCTTTTTACCTTAAAAAATAACTGAACAAAATAAACAACACTTTTCACACACTGAGCAACAAGCAGTGAAGAACAGAAGGGAAGAGGGAGGAATGAATAAGGACAAATTCAGTATTACCCCATTTTACATACAGTATTAAGAAGGCAGTTAAAAATCTAAAGTTTTCAGGGCTGAAGACATGGGTCAGTGGTTAAGAGCACTGTCTGCTCTTGCAGAAAACCTAGGGTTCACCTCCCAACACCCATGTGGTGGCTAACAACTGTTTCTAACACCAGTTCCAGGAGATCCAATGCCCTCTTCTGGCCTCCATAGGCATTTCAGGACATGGATGCAATTCACATATATACAACAAAACCACTTAAACATATAAAATATAAATCAAGACAGTTTAAAAACGTTTTCATTTATATTTAATAATTATATTAAATGTATCTAGTCTAAATATAAATATGAGGACAAAGATAATTGCAATAGATAAATAAGAAAGAAAACTATGTACTATGTATAAGAAATCCATAGTATAAAGGTACAGATAAATTAGAAGTGAAAGGATGGAGAAAGGCATATCAAACAAATATTAACCAAAAAAAATTATGTAACTACACTACTATCTGTTGTAGTCTTCATTATCTCAAAGTTCAATTGGAAAAATGGCCAAATGGGTTTGATTTTTTTAAAAAAATTCTTACCACACCAAAACAAAGATGTCTATTATCAGGAGATTCTGGGTGAAATCTGCTTCCAAGATCATTTCTAGTTGTTGGAAGACCTAAAAATCTTGTGGTTGTAGAAATGAGGCCCCTGTTTTCTTGCTGTCAGCTTGGGGCTGCCCTTAGGTGCTAGAAGCCTCTCTATGGTCCTTGATCTATGGTTCTTGTATCTTAAAGCAAGCAACAGCATATTGAAAGTTCCTCATGCTATTTTCTGATTTCTTCTACCACATTTCTTCTGATACCAGTAAAAAAATTCTTTGCTTTTAAAAGTTCATGTAATTAGCCTGGGTCCATCTAGATAAATTGGGCTAATAATGCCCCTCCTTTAAAAATTTTTGTTACATTTTATCTATTTTTATTCTATGTGCATGAGTGTTTTGCCTATATGTAGGGACACCATGTATGTGTAATGCTTGAGGAGGCCAGAAGATGGCACTGGACCTCCTGGAACTGGGGTTACAGATGGATGTTAGCTGTTAGGAGGGTGCTGGAAACTGAACTCAGGTCCTCTGCAAGAGCAGCCAGAGCGCTTAACCACTGAGTTGTCTTTCCAGGCCCTCCCTTCCACATTTTTACACTGCTGAGGATTGTTCCCAGGGCTTCATACACACTAGACTAATATCCCTAATTTAATTCCATAGAGTTCCATAATTCCTGTCTTCTGATTATGCAATAGAACACTAAGTTCTAGAGTGAAGGACCTTTCAGGTGGAACTAAGGTTCTTCATCAGCTAGCCTAAAACAGGAAAAATGTCTAGAATTATCCAGCTGGCTTCACGGTAATCACATGAGTTCCTACATATGAGGAATGGGTGGGAGAGATGACTCACTGGATAAAAGCACTTGCTGCACAAGCCTGTCGACCTGAAACAGTGGTTTGAAATCTAAGCAGGTGGAGATAGGAGAATCATCTTAAGCTCTCCCATCATCTAACCTGGAGTACTTCACGTAGAAGTAGAAACAGCACATAGAAGCAGACAAGAGAGATCTTGCCTCAACAATGCACAGGAGGCAACTTTCTCCTGCAAGTACTTCCATGTGTATGTCATGGCATGCACACACTTGCTCTCTCTCTCTCTCTCTCTCTCTCTCTCTCTCTCTCACACACACACACACACACGCACACACACACAAATTAAAAAGCAACAGGAATATAAAAGTCAGAGAAAGTAAGAGATGTGGCAAAAAGGGAAATCAGATACATTCAACATGTGAGGGACTCAATCTGCCATTGGTCACTGTTGGCTTTGAAAGA